GTAAACCTTTTAATATCGAACTTAAGAAATTTTATACATTTTTGTGGGTGGAAAAGGAAGGTGCTACTAATTCAAAAATGGAGTAAAATGTTTTTCTTGGATATTTTTACATGATTCGATAGAGCTTATCGAGCTCTACAAAATTGTATATATTAAAATTTTTTTAAATAGGATTCTTGAGTTGAAATTTACTGAAAACTGTCTAAAGAAGGTACCCAAAAATCCGCATTTTTTACACCTTTTATAGGGGAAAAATGGTCTTTTTTACAATAAATTCAGTTGTTTTCCATTAGTATCCTTACGTAAGATGTTTGAAAATATACTCATTCGGTGCAGTTTTTCACGCTGCATCGAATGAGTATATTTCGAAACACCTGAGAGAGTAAAAATAATCAACAAAAGCTAATTTTATTGAAAAATCGAATGTTTTTCTTCCGTACCGAAAATATCAGTTTTTTTTTAACGGTTTTTAAGATTTTCCAAATAGTTTTTTTAATATTTTATTACAAAATAATGACTTTAAAAAAATTTAATATATACAGTTTTGTAGAGCTCGACGAGCTCTATCGAACCATGTAAAAATATCCAAGAAAAACATTTTACTCCATTTTTAAATTACTAGCACCTTCTTTTCCACCCACAAAAATGTATAAAATTTCTGAAAGTTTCTTAAGTTCGATATTAAAAGGTTTACTTAATCCCTACTATTTAGCATCAATAAATCCCATTTTTCACGATCTTTCATTTGGTATAAAATTCATCGTATCTTCTATTTGAAATTATATCGTAACTCTCCTTGAATAATATTTTTTCCAACCCTGTAGTTTATTTATCAAAAAAATAAAAGAATTTTAAAGAAAGAAAATAATAATTTACTATTTTACAGTTAAAATGAAAAGAACAATATAGATAAACATGTAAATGTTATACATAGAATACAGTGGAAGATAAAAAAACCAACTATATGAAAATTCACACGGATCTATAATAAACGAATTATTTATATATCAACAGAAAAATAATATGTATTAAAGAAATAAAAAAAATTTTGATTGTATTCTATACTTTCGGTCATTCTTTATTATCTTATGATTACTGTTTTCTTGTAATATTTTTCTTGCTCCTCAATTTAATTATATTGAAGATTCAATACAGTTAGAATCTAAATCAATCAAAAATAAAAACATTCAAATTAAGTTATCGAAAGAAAACAAAACATTATTTTTAACCTTATTTTATCGTAATGTAGTGCTTAGAAATTGTACATCTGCACTTTTTATTTTATTGTAGGAAACATCAAGATTTATTAGTGTCTGTGTATTCAAGAGTAAATAAAGAAATAAATAGATTTTTCAATCATACATTATTTATTTGTAAAACATCATTTATATATTGTGCTCCGATGTTTCCAATTTGATTATTAGAGAGATTGAGTATAGTTAATGTCTACAATAAAGAAAATTAATAATGAAGATTATTCAGCCTCATATTTTGGTTATGAGTACGACTAAGAATATTTTAAAATGGTCCAGCTCCATGATTTATCAAGCCGGAGTTATGACCGTTTTTTAGTAGGTTTTCGGTCTTGAAGCTAGATATTCATAGAAAACTTAATTACGAGATTTTTCATCTCAAGCTAAAGAACACTACTGTAAGCGTTTAAATGAAAAGTTTATGATGTATAGATGGAATTGGTTTTTACACATTTAATTAAAAGGATATAAATCATAGTCTGGTATTATGAAAATATATGCTTTTTTCAGTTGCATAGTAATGAGTTAACTGGCGTTTTATTTTAAATATATTTTAGAATTCAATGAGATATTAAAACAACTATTTTATAGTCCCAATCATTAAAACTAATGTTCAAGTAGCTCAATAAATCCCTGAAAATTTATATTAAATTCAATTTTTGACATTTACAACTTCTCAAAGCATTAAATTAAATTTTTCTCATAGTTATTTGATTTAAATTTCTTGAAAATAGAAACATACCATGTCATGATGTAAGACAACTCGATTCTAGAACTTGTCTTATAACAAAATTAGTATTTGCTAAATAATCCGTATCTTAAGAAAGAATAAATTCGTATATGATGAAATTTTTCTTACTCTATTATGTTGTAACATATCACATAAATATTTGACTCCATTATCTGGAACATGATTTCGTGCAAGGTTTAGATCAATAAGTGTCTATTTTAAAGAAAGAAGTATTTAAATATAAAATTAATAAACAATATATATTTCTTACGTTGTTAGTTTTTAATGCATCACTTAAATAAAATATTCCTGTTTCTCCTATTTGATTAGAAGCAAGTTCGAGTCTTTTAATAGACTATAATACAAGACAAGTTTTATTAACATAAAATTTACTCTAAGTTCGTATTATTTACTGTGTTATTTTTTAATGCTTCACTAAGATATTGTGCTCCATCATCTTCTATATGGCATGAATTGAGTTTCAATATTGTAATTGTCTGTATTACAAAGAAGAAAAGCCGTAGTTTAGAAAACTACTCAAATAACTATTTCTTACATTATTATTTTGTAATGTTTCACTTAAATATTTTATTCCTTGTGATCCAATTTGATTATATTCAAGATTTAATATAGTTAATGTCTACATAAAAGATAAAATATCATTAAATAAAATTACAAAAGAAAAGATTATTATTCTTACCTTATTTATTTTTAATGCATTACTTAAATATCGCATTCCTAAAAATTCAATTTGATTATGAGAAACATCGAGATCAATTAAAGTCTGAAAAAGAAAGATGTTAGTATATGAACAGATTTTTGAGGATTATTAATCATACTGTGTTTTGTTGTAATGCATTACTTAAATAACTTATTCCTCTTTCTCCGATTTGATTGTACGACATATCAAGTGTTATGAATAGTTGTGTCAACTAGAAAAAAAAAACAAGTTTACTATTAGAGATTTTTTTTTACATCTAGTTCAGAAATTGAATACATGAGAGATAATCATTCTTGTCATAGAGAACAATTATTTTATTATATGTAGAAAATTTGAGTTTTTTGAAAACAAATATATTGATCTTTACTTCGTTACTTTGTAATGCATAATGCACCACTACATTCATATCTTCGTCTGTTAAATCATGAGAACTTAAGTTCAATTTGAAATCATCTTGCATATTGGCACAAATGTTTTGACGACTAAAATTGATACTATGAGGTAATGATGTTGATACTGTTGGCTCCAGATCTAAAGAGAACAGAATCAACAATAAACATATTACGAAATTCTCAATAATCAGTTATCAACTCTGTAAGTATTGTTGACATATGTTAGTAATTTGTGATGAAAAGAAAAAAAAACTCAAATTGCAGTACCTATGTTTTTCAACTGGATTTCTTGTTCTGAATTGTTTAAACTAAAACATTGAAATATATATGACATATTTGAAGTTAGATTCTATTTACCTCGGAAAAAGTTCTTCTTCTAATAAAATACTCGACAAGTCACAATCGAATAAGGTATCATTTAACTAAAACATATATAGGTAGCTTTTGAAAAGTCAATATCATGATCAATGAGTTACTATATCTTGTAATAAGTTTGTAGTTGATGAAGGACTATCATGGAAAATATCGATATTCTATATGAACATTAACAATAAGAAAAAAACGAAACAAAATTTTTATGATAATTTACCGTTTCTGTCATTGTATTTGGTTTCGTGCTATTGGTTGTTGTGATCGTATTAGTCTCTGGCGATAGAACCATATGACTTGAATCTTCATTGATTTCAATAGCTATAAAATTAGAAATTTGAAAATGTCGAATAAATCTACATTGTTAATTTTACAGATACAAACTTTCAGAAAAGGGAACAAGATAAAAAAAATAATTTGAAAAAAAAGTTCCAAGTCTTCTCTTTTCAATTATAGAAATGAAGGTGAAATTTAAGTCTATTGAACATATTAAATTTTGTTGGAAAACAAAATTTCGATTATTATAAAAAAACAACATTAGGATACTTACCAGAATTCATAATAAAAGTTGAGTCATTAAATAATAAATTGTTTTGTGAATTTAACCAATCGCTATTAGTTTGAGAATTTTCTATTAAATTTAATTCATTCAAAATAAAATTTGAACAACTAATTAGAGGTGGATTTAAATTCATTTGATTTTCAACATTATAATTTATGTTAATCAATTGTTGATTATTCAACGAATTAAAAAGTGTTTGTAAACGACAATATTCAAGACGAGCTTTTTCAATTTGTGATCCATCTATTTCATATCTTTGCAATTGTTCAGCTAATATACAACCAACATTTTGTTCCAATTGACTTTTTAAGTCTATTTTCCAATAATCTTTTTTTTCTTCAATTTTTTTATTGACTTGTTCGAGTTTCATTTGAAGTTCATTATGTATTTGATTGATTTTCGCATGCATTGTTGATGCCCATTGATGAAGTAGATTTGCATTATAAGACGTTTTATCATCAATAATAATATTTAATTTTTCTACATTATCGAAGAGTTCCTACAAGAAAAATAAACACAAATTATATACCAGGGTATCCCAGAAATAACCTACGAAAAAGAAAATCGTTTATCTCTACTGTATTTCATCCAATGGAGCTAATTTTTTTCTCATGTTAGAGAAGACTTTCAAGTTTTTATTTTCGCAAAAATAAAGTTTATGGACGATACTGAAAACCATTACTATTGACTTCAATACGAAATTGAAGCCTTTCCCAGTATGATAAAACGATATAGAACGTTTTTTATTTTTTGGTTACTTCAAACTTTTCTCGTAATTTTTGACTTTAAATCATTCAGATCTTTAATTCTTACTTTATAAATACTAGACCTGTGACAGTTTCGGATCAAAAAACTGAACTGGTGTCAATCACCCAGTTCTTTAAAAGAATCGTAACTGATGATCAGTTCCGGTTTTTTTGAAAGAACCAGCCACCAGTAGAGGGCTGCAGGGTGCAGGATTTTTATAACCTGTAACCTGCCCTGTAAATTTTTTGTAACCTGATCCTGCCCTGCCCTGTGAATATTTTTGCGGACCCTGCCCTAAAACTTTCTAAT